GCAAAAGATTTTGCAGGCATGTGGGTGAGGATAAAAAGACTTGAGCTTGAAAGCACTGGCTAAATGGAGAAGACTTATATTTATATTAGGCCTTCTCAGGAGGCGCTTGAATGACCATGCAAATTTTTTTTTTTTTTAATAACTTGGCCACAATTTTTTTGCATATATATTAAAATATGAGGCATTTTAAAAATGCATTGAAAAACAAAACTAATTTGTTATATTATTTTATTTTTCTTATTAATAATTTATTATTATAGTTATAAATGAGAAAATAAAAACATAAAAATAATATATATATATATATATATATATATATATATATATATATATATATATATATATATATATATATATATATATATATTATTGTTATTATTATTATTAATGAGGAAATAAAAGCATAAAAATAATATATATATATATATATATGAGCTATTCCATTTTTAACTTACATTACTCGCGCAACAACTTTATCAAATATTTGCCTATTTAAACTTTAAACTAACTTTTACCTATTTTGTATGAAACCTGTTAGTCTAATGAATAAAATAAGCTAAAAAGATTTGAATCTGGCCAAAAGAGGGCAAATTTATTGCTAAAAATGCCACTTACAATTACATTACACAGAAAACAAGCAAAAAAAGCGGTTTGTATTAGAAATTTTCACAAGATGTTGAGATTTTTATACCAATTTAAAAAAAATATAAAAATTTATTAGAGTTGATAGGCTAAGGAAAATAAACTTGTTTTTTGGATATTGTACAATTTATTTACATTATCACTTACATTACCGAGCAATTATTATCGTGAATTTTTTTTATCTTATATTATTAGTTAGAATTACATAACAAAAGAATTGCAAAAGTATTGAACTCATTCATTAAAAATAAGTAACAAAGAAAATTTTAAAAAACTGATGGCACTCTTATAAATTATATGTAAAATACATATAAAATAAATATATATAAATAATACAAATAATATAAATAAATATATATTCGTATATATAATATATATTAGTATTGATATACACGATACTATCCAATATTTAAAAGAAAAAGAAAACAAACAAAACAAAAAAAAATTTTTCTAACTAAACTACACCTGAAAGTAAAATCAAAAACAGCTCAGCAAAATAAAAAACAGATAAAAAAGATGTTAGATGGCATAATAAAAATTTTCGAGGATGAAATGAAAAACTTAAAATCCGAGGTTGCAGAATATATTAAAGAAAACAAGCAACTAAAAAGCATAATTGCAGAAATGGAAAAATCAAAAGAAGTCAATTATAATAAAAATGGAACTACGTGGTCGAAAGTTGTATCAGGGGCTGCCAAAAAAACAAATGACCAACTATTTCTTTTTTTTGAAACCACAAAGAAACGTAAAGACCAAGAACGTAGAGACACATCTAATTTACTTAGTGTTATCGAATCCGATGGAGCAAAAGTCAGATCTATTCGCCGTCTTAAATGTAAATGAAGCATCGATCCTTTGCTTATTGAGCTTAAAGACATTAATAACAAAAATATGGTTCTTATAGCATCAATTAAATTAAGAAAAAACGATCTAACAGCAAGTCAAAGATTTATTCTAAAAAATAAATTAATAGAACGAAATGAAAAAAATGAGTTAAGAAGTGAACAAGAAAAATGTAATGCTCCGAATTGTATAGCATGGAATAATTTTGGTAAATTATATTTAATATTGGTTAAAGTATGAATGTTAATTTGCATAACAATACGTTATATTGAAATTTAAAATCTTTTACTAAAAAACTGAAATTAAAAACAAAAACTTTGTTTCAACTAGACAATGATCCAAAACACTGTTGAAAAAAAAAGCTGTTTTTTGATAAATATGATACTTTTTAAAGAAAAAAGATTTTTAAGAAAAGTTTTGTTGAATTATGGTCTAACATTAACAATAATCATTTTGAATGTCAAGAATTGATCCCAAAGAGTTTGCTAAATGTAATTGAAACAAAAAGAGGAGTAACTAAATATATTAATAAAATATATGGAAGATTTTGTCATTTATTTAATTTTAACTATTTAATTTTAATTTAACTAATATATTTGCTTATACATTTCTCATACAATTATTCTATGTGCAAGTGCCCCTTCTTTTAAATTTTAAATCAGGTAATTCAAAAACACAAACAAAAACTGTGCCAATTTTTTGAAGGTATTATTACATGAAAAAACTGAGAAAAATCTTTTTAAAGTTCTTATGATAAGTGCATTATCAACAAAGAAAACCCTTTTTTGAAAAGTACTATTTATAAAAAAAAGTGACTCTGTACAATTGAATTCTGTTAAGAATATACTCTTCTAAACTACCATTTAGTGTGGTAGTAGTTTAGAAGAGTATATTTTGAATATAATAATTTTATTTTTTTTATGAAATTTTTTAGGAAATTCTTTATTCTTTCGATACGAACACACTAAATTTAGAAGTTAATCCTGTGCAAGTTAATATTAAATTAAAAGCTTACCCAAAATCATCATCCATTGATTTAAAAAAAAATCTATAATTTGGTCTATTAATGACATTCTTAAAATCCCCTAATGTAACTAAACTTGGCGATTTTGGTATCTTTACTAAATAAGGTGTCTCTTCGTCATCTACATGGTAAATAATTTTAGTCTCATCAGGAACACTCATTTTTTCTTTTGTTCAAACTACCTAGACTATGACCCGATGTTTTTATTTTAAACCCATAATGGACGACACGGAAAACATGATGATAGGGGTTCCGGTTTAACAGTAAATTTATATGAGGGTTTTATATAAAAATTGGCATTAATCTTAGGCGTAAGATAAAAAATTTTAAAGAGGTCTCTGAGTGAGTAATACTAACGTGTTTTTAAACAAATGGCTTCCAACAAGCATGGTATCGTATTTGAAAAAGAAAAAAAAACTCAAGTATTATTTATATATTATCCCAATAAATGTGTGCGGTTTTTAAATAGACCACCAAAAACCAGAGGTGTAATCTTAATAAATTAACTAATAAGTTCCAATTATAATTCAAATAAATTTTAAATATAATCTCAAAATATCTTTTTGTTTATTTGACTTTTTTTCCCCGATTATATTAGAATAACTGAACATTTACGAACAGGATTTTATATTTGTTAAAAATTTATTTTTAAAAAATTTCAAATTACTTATATCTTGTCAACTATTATTGTTTCTAACCATAAGTTAAACAGAGTGGTTACAGAAGGAGCTGAATTTGAATTCTTACGAATTGAATACAGAAAACTGATCAATTTCTGGCCACTTTGCCTTATTATTTAAAAAAATAAATTCGCATCGCGTAATATAAAACAAACAAATTAAACTTTAACTAGGTTTCTTAACGATGAATACAATTATATGACGTTTTTAAAAAAATTAAAGTTTACATGTGTTTAGGTATCAATTATTTAAATGCTAGCTAAAAGACCCATTTCTGGCTGTTTGAACTTAATTCCATCAAATTTCACAGTTTACGGTGAAAAAAGTTTATTAAATATTTTAATATATTTTGAAAGCATTGGGAATTCTTCGTATATTTTAAAAATTACAAAGCTTAAGTACAATTATAAGCGTCCGTTATTGATGGATTTTAAATTCTGACATCTGCTTCAAAAATATTTCTATTTTTTTCTTTTTTTTTCTTCTATAATATGCAAAGACGTGAAGACGTTTAATAAGTTATCAAATCAACTTCACTTTAAACAAACATTTTTGTGTTTAAAGTGAAGGTAAGAGTTTTATTTTTGTGAAAAAACCAAACAGTTTTCGAAGTACACAAACATGGTAAAAATAGGTAATTTTCACCTAAAGAATTTATTATACTAATATAAATGCTAACAAATGAAAGTAAATGCTAGCCTTATTATTTAACATTACTATTTAACATCTTCTTCTGTTTAAATTGTTGCGCCAAATTATGCATACATTTGTTACCACTCAAATTGAGGAGGGTTCAAACTTTATTTGGTCATAATATTTGATTTGGGTCTGAATTTTTTTGATAATTATTGTCAAGGGGGAGGGGAGGTAAAGTAAAGTTGCCGTCAATAATGTTACTTTTTTAAAATAAGTTTAATAATTAAAAAATGGAAAATTAGGCAGCGTTTGCATTCCCGTGTTACATACTCGCTCAACATTTAGTATATTTATAAGCTTTTTATATTTCTACTTTTTAAAAACCATGTTGTACTTTAAAAAGACTCGACACATAAAGAACTAAATAACCACACACGAGATGTTTACTCATGACCCTACTAATTTTTTTAACTTTGTTGCTAGCTAGTTTTAAAAGGTTGTACCCCTAGTATAAACATTTAAATAACATGTTACACATTATGTTATTTAAACATTCATATCAGGGGTGTCACCAGCGTAGTTTGGGTTGACATAATTTTATAGAAGGGATGGGGTCTCTGGAGGTTTCATAAGTTGTTAACAAACGGGACAGAGAAGGTAAAAGTTGCCAAATAATTGTTGACGTAATTAATGGAAAGCCCCTAAAAGATTATACCACAAAATTTAAAACTTATCAATCAATATTAATTTAAAATTTATCAATTAAGTTATCAATGAATATTAATTAGTTCTTAATAGTAGATAAAATATTTTATCAACTTGTTGCTCTCTCATTTGAGGCAGGAGGCAAAAATTTATATTGTTTAAAGTCACTTTTTGAAATCAATTTCCACTGTATCTTTGTCAAGATGTCCACCTTATTTTTTCACATCTATAATTGCATATATTTACTTCTAGTTGACCTAGGATTTTAAATTTGGTATCAAAATTCATCATTTAATAATACCTTTATAATAGAATTAGTTGGAAAAAAAAAGTTTTAATTTTTTATGCCGATACTTACTTAAGATATTAACAATATGATTGCTTGTAACAAGTTTGTTTTTTTTTTAGAAAAATGTTCTATTTTTCTAAAGAAAAATAGAACATTTTTAAATTTTCCAAAGAAAAATAGAACAATTTTAAATATTTTGCGTGACGCAGTGGTTAGAGTTGTTATAAAAATTGTTATAAAGTTGTTTAAAAATAAAAAAACTCCACTAACGATAGCGGAGGTTTTTTAATGAAGAAAAATGAATTTAATAAAACTCAACATTTAACCAAATAAAGAATTTCGAAGGAGAGAAAATAATAAATAATAATAATAATAATAATAATAACAATAATAATAATAAAGGAAAACAATCATTTATTATTATATATTATTTAGTATTAAGTTAATATTAAAAATAATATTATTAATAATAATAGTAACAATAATAAAAAGCCACAAAAACGTTACAAACAATTTTAAAAAAATTAACGGAAAGTTCAAATTATACCAAATCAATTTCATTTTAACAAGTAATAAAAAAAAAAGAAGGTAGAAAAAACGATGAGTTAATTAAAAGATAAATTATATTATAACCTTTATTTTTTGTTATTATTTTTATCATATTTTATATATTTATTTTAGCTGCTAATTTATTATCAGATTTATTTTGATATATCATAATCTAAATATTAATGATATATTATAAAAAATAATATTTATTTAAATTATTTTTACTTTATTGTTAAACTTACATATTTCTCAACTTTTATTTAGTTTTTTATTTATATATTATATTTGTTATTGTTATACTTTACAGTATTGTTTGGTTGTTCCGTTATTGTTAATATTTTCATTATCATCATAACTGCAAGTGTTTCGTTGTTGTTGTCTCTTTTATTCCTAATTATCTTTTTCATTAGTATTACTTTATCAAAAAAAAATTAATGTATAAAAGAAAAGATGATATGATAAATTATGCACCTAATTGTTTAGAACCCACATTGGTTGAAACTATTTTTTCTAAAAAAAATCTAATATTATTGTTTATTGTATTTATTGACATCTTTGCCTGGATATCTGAATTAATGGTGACATAATTATCGAGTTTTATGATCATCTCAAAGATATTCTTTATGAATTTTATAAATCATCTGTCCACCAAGGAGTTTTTCCTGATCGACTAAAAATTGCAAAAGTTATTCAAATTTTGAAAGAAGGAGACTGTTGCAACATCAGTAACTATCGCCCTATATCTATTCTTTCTACCTTTTCAAAAATATTAGAGCGTATTATGTGCAATAGAGTATAAAATTATCTTATCTTCAATAATCTTTTATATAATAATCAATTTGGTTTCAAAAAAATAATTTCACTGAACATGCAATCATCCAATTTGTACGAGAAATCTCAAATTCCTTTCAAAGATCCCAATTTACATTAGGTGTTTTTATTGACTTGTCGAAGGCTTTTGATACTGTCGACCATGAAATTCTTCTTGAAAAACTAAAATACTACGGATTAAACTATATAACTATAAAATGGCTTCGAAGTTACTTATCAAACCGCAAACAATTTATTTTTATTAATAACTATAACCAAAGCCATCTACTAAATATTTCCTGTGGTGTTCCCCAAGGATGTATTTTGGGGCCACTTATGTTCTTAATCTATATAAATGAAATAAATTCCTGAATAATAATGACATATCTAAACTCTTTTCTACAATGATGAACTAAAAAACATATCTACTAGTTTCAAATGTAACAAGTTAACTCTTAACATTATTAAAACAGAATGGATTCTTTTCTATTCACTCTCTAAAAAACGCTATTTACCCCAAAGTTTGCCCAAAATATTTATTGATAAAGTTAAAATAAAAAGAGATTTTGTTACTAAACTTTTAGAAGTGGTTCTCGACGAGAACATTACATGGAAACCGCATATAGACTATATATATATATATATATATATATATATATATATATATATATATATATATATATATATATATATATATATATATATATATATATATATATATATATATATATATATATATATATATATATATATATATATATATATATATATGTATATATATATATTAGGGGTAGTCATTTTTAGGGAATTTTTGAAATCGAAGTACATACCCAGCTAAAGTTGGAGCAAATATGCTAAAACTTTGTCAAAATTTTTTTTAGGTCAATCGGGTGACTTTTAAGTCCCCCTCAAGAATAAAGTTGTTAAGAAATTGTACTTCAAAAAAGGAAAAATAGGGTGTGTTCAGGGTGTTTGAGGGGGATTTAAATGAAAAAATTATTTCCATTTTTTTTTTTTTTTTTTGTTATTTGATATCTATATTTTCATTTTAAAAGGGTATGTCATTATGTTTTTTACATATTCTTGGTTAAAACGATATTTAAGAAATCAAAAAATGAAAAGTTTAATTTACGCAAGTGGTTATGAAATCAGTAAATTATGTATTTTCATACTTAAAGTTCATTCAGATGGACAGACGTAAAAATTCCCGCTTAAATCAACCAAAAAAACAAACTATTTTGAACTAAACAAGTAATTTACCATTTAATTAAAATCTTTACAAATACTATCAAGACAAAAATTATGCATTAATTGAAATAAGTATTTTAAAATGAATAACAATTTCCTAAGTCTACATTTTTCTTTTCTTTAATTTAGAGAGTGACATCAGGCTTTCTGATAGTTTTTTTTTTTTGTATTATTACTTTTTCCCACACCAAAAACCTTGAAAGTTGACCTTACTTTGTCGACAGTTAAAAGTCTGTTCTGCTTGTCATCCTCATTTTCGATTCTTTGTACAAACTGCTGCATCATTCCGATTGCTCGTTCAGAATGATCATTGACAACAATTAAGATTTTGGCAAAGTTTTCAAAATTCTTAAACGAGGACTGGGTTATATATTGGAATGGAAGTGACAACCAGTCTCTCACTCTCTGATTATCCAACCCTATCATTGAAAAAATTAAATATGAAAACTCATTAACCAAAAGAGAGAGGGTTGGTACCTTCATATTATTTATGATATTAATCTCGTTTATTCGATATTTGCTTCTATGTTTAAAAAAATCTGGGTCTGGCATTTGGAAGGAAAGCAAAGCATCTGCAATGGCTGTTTTTTTATCCATAGAAATATTTTTATCCAAAAGAGCCAAGGGAATAATCGTTGAATCAAGATACCATGTATGCTTATAAAGAGATGCTAACACTGCGTCTACTGCCTCCGGATTAGAGCAAACTTTCTTATACTCTTTCACCTGAAAGATTGCATCAAGATCAGACGCAGGAGATTGAATTGCTTTATGTGCTTGAAGGTACCACCTTATGTAAAAACATACTATGAACTCGCAGATGAGTTTTAAATCTTCGCGTAGATTATCATTTTCTTGCACAAATGTCAGTTGCTTGCACAAAAGCTGAAGTTTAAGGTAGTATTAACTCTTGTCTAAAAACCTAGCATGATGAACAGCTCTAGTTTTCTTTAATTTGAAATGTGCAGAAGGGGATAAATACTGCATGGTTAGCTCAGCCAACTCTCTTCGGTCATTCCTCATATTGCATTTTTTAGTAATATAGGTCTCACAGTAATCTAAAGTTTTCCTTGCAGCTTCCTTCAAAACTGTTCCTTCCACGGTTTTCCAATCAAGAGAGGTCAGGTTATTTTCGTCGTATTTGAAGTTAGGGTTCTCAAACATATGTTTAAACTTTACGAATAAAGTATTTTCAGGCCCTACGCTATTCTCTTTTATCACTGCTTCACAGAAATGAACCATTCTAAGCTCAATGATATGATGCCTACATGCTAGTAGAAGAAGGTATTTTTCAACCTCTCTTGCAATCCTAGTAAGTGATCCTTTCTTAGAACCAGTATTACTTGAAGTTGTATCAAAGCATACTCCGCATACTTTTGAAATGAGGTCATATTCTTCTAGTATTTTCATGATTCCTATATACATATTTTCACCTGAAGGAGAAGGCAAGGCAGGTACTCCAAGAAGATGCGACACCCCCTCAATATTAACGAGCACAGCTAATCTTTCATTCTTCAGTCTTTTTCCCTGATTTATTTCAAACAAAGCCTTTCCGTCAAAATGAATTATACAGGGATAACGGCTTTTTTCCACGGCCTTCTTTATATCTAATTTAGCAATTTCTGCAGTATCCTTGGCAGTTTTTTTCATCTTCCTTAATGCTGTTGAAGCACTGGCTTTGCATTTTGCGATATCAACTCCACAATCTTGAAGAATTGCTCCAGTTACTTTTTGTAAGACATTGGGGGAGATATCATTTGCTGTAGCTATGATAGATACATTTCCATCAAAAATATTCTTAGGGACTTTGGCAGTAATGTTGCAATCATCTGCTCTTCTATGATGCCACCCTTTGGGTTCAAATTCTGAATCAGAATCAGCGCTAGTGTCAGTGAAAGTCTAATTCTGAGGTAGCATCAATCTTAGGAGATTCGTCTTCTAGCCTTGTCCTCTTCCTCACACCTTCAGAAACCTAAAATTTGTTTTAACATAGTGTATGTGTATTAACAAATAATGTATGTTAATTTAGGAAATTTGAATAAAAAACGTCAAATTAACCCAATAAAAACAACACAAAACCTTTTTGCTAAATTTTCTATCTTCTGATCCCAAACTAAAATATCTCGGTCCTTCCTGGTCTTCCAAAAAAGTTAAATCATCGTCCTTATCTTTATCTGAGCGTTTTTTATCCTTCATAATTTGGTTCTTTAAATCTGTAGAACCAATCCAAAACAGCTTTTTCAAAAATGAAATAAACTCCCCTTGATTAACCTTGTCTCTAGCTGTTCCTCTGCATTTATTTCTACTCAAATCTGAATACTTCTTGTCCATCTTCATGATAATACTTTTATCTGAAATTACTTGAAATCCCGCTTTAAGCCATGGTCTTTTAATTAAGCCTAAAATGCATTCACAATCATCTACTTCACATCTCTTGTAACCCTTAATCTTGTAAGGAGGGCATGATAAAATTGCTGACTTCTTAACATTATGAGGAAGTAGTGATCTTCTGTAGACAATGTGTTGAAGAACATCCATTCCAGTAGGGAGTTGAAGACCTTAAGAAAAAAAAAAATCAATATTTTAATTTTTAACAAAAAATTTAAAATTCACAACAATTTTTTTAAATTAGATATGTACATGTAATAGCTGGTTTAGCCTCATTTATGATAAAAAGTTTGTTTTTGCTTGATCTGAGAAACTTCCTCTTCCCAATATCTTTTACAATTTTTTTTTCCATTTTTGTATTCAATCTAAATATATTTAATGGTCTGTAATTAATTAAAAACTTTAATACAATTTTACTTTATATTGTAATTCAATTAACAACAATCAAGTAAATACGAAAGTTATTTACAAAAATAAAATAATGTAACGCAATTTCACGTACAATTTCTTTATAAAAACTCTTAGTGACTTGAAAACACAGTGCAGGATCTTCAGCACATTTTCTTCTGCATTATTTTATAAGAATTTTTTTATCGTTGCCGATTTTCATAACCTCTTGCGTAACATAAAATTTTTATTTTTTCCTTTCGTAAATATCGTTTTAACCAAGAATATGTAAAAAACATGATGACATACCCTTTTAAAATGAAAATATAGATAACAAATAACAAAAAAAAAAAAAAAAAATTGAAACAATTTTTTCATTTAAATCCCCCTCAAACACTCTGAACACACCCTATTTTTCCTTTTTTCAAGTTCAATTTCTTAACAACTTTAGTCTTGAGGGGGACTTAAAAGTCACCCGATTGACCTAAAAAAAATTTTGAAAAAGTTTTAGCATTTTTGCTCCAACTTTAGCTGGGTATGTACTTCGATTTCAAAAATTCCCTAAAAATGACTACCCCTAATATATATATATATATATATATATATATATATATATATATATATATATATATATATATATATATATATATATATATATATATATATATATATATATATTTTTTTTTTTTTTAATTATCTTCGCTTCCAACAAGGCTGCAAGCAACCACTAATTAGTGTTGGAAGTTACTGGAAGAAAAAATATGAAGATTGAAGAGCAAGATAACGATTGACAGACGACTTAAAAGATTGCAAATTATATGAATCAGGAAAGCAAGATGAAGGAAGCGAATTCCAAAGAACTGATGTTCGAGGGAAAAAACTAGACGAATAAGAGATTTTGGAGCACTTAGGAACAGTAACAGAAAAAAGATGAGACTTAATTGAATGACGAGTAACACGAGAATGAATTATAGTACAAGAGACTCTTGGCACAAGAGACCCTAGCTCTTTCGAGCAGTGCCCATTATAGTATTTGTAGAAAAAAGAAAGAGAAGTAACATTACGACGATGTGACAGAGGTTGAAGGTTGGCTGCAAAAGCAGGTTCAACTATGTTTACAATGCGTTTTTGCACCTTGTCTAAAAGAGAAAAGGCATCATTAGAAGATCCGCCCCAAATATGGCAACAGTATTCCATACAAGGCCGGATTTGGGATTTATAGAGATAGAGAATAAAATCCAGAGTAAGAAAGTGACGAGCTCGATAAAGAGAAGCAACTTTAGCAGATGCTAATTTTGCAACAAATTTGATATAAGGTTTCCGAGAAAGATCAGAAGTAAGAGTTAATCCTAGAAGACGAAGGGTAGGAGACTCATCGAGAACATTACCGTTCATAAATATAGGAAGGTCTAAACTATTGCGATAACGATTGGCCGAGAAAAATTGAGTTTTATCTGAATTAAAGTTCACCAGCCACTGTGAGTCCCATGTTGTAGCAGAAGTGAGATCCTTTTCAAGCTCAAATGCCCCCTGCAAGCAATCAGAGGGAGTTGGCTTCCTATCGTGACAAGAATAAATGGTAGTATCATCAGCAAACAATGCCGCCTTAGATGTGAGAATATCTGGAAGATCGTTAATGTAAATTAAAAAGAGTATAGGGCCAAGGATTGAACCTTGAGGAACCCCTGAGGTTACAGAATAAGAAGAAGAGTGCTGTCCATCAAGGACAACTTTTATACTACGATTGAAAAGGAAGGATTCAATAATCTTAAAGATGTTTCCAGATACACCGTAAGAAGAAAGCTTATGGAGAAGACCAGGATGCCAAACTTTATTAAACGCTTTAGAAAAATTCAAGAGCAATGGCCTTAACCTCTCCAACCTTATCTAATGCGCGATAAAACCTATCGGTTATTACTGATAGCAAATCAGCCGTAGAGTGAGAAGATCGATATATTGATGATCAGAAAGTAGGTTATGAGATTTGAGATGAGAGATTAAGTGTTTGTTAATTAAAGATTTAAAAACCTTGCTTATGATAGGAAGAAGACTAATGGGACGGTAGTTAGACAAATTGGATCGCTCTCCAGAATTTTTAAAAATAGGGATAACAGATGCTGCTTTCCAGCAAGCTGGAAAACAAGACTCTGTTAAGCACTTGTTGAATAGTTTTGAATAGAAAGGATAGACGACAGCTCCGGAGAACACTTCTGCAAGACTATAACAGGTATGTTGTCCGGGCCGCAAGTTGTAGAAGAGTCTAAGCGGGAAATTACTTTAGGTACAGAAGCTGGAGTGATACGAATGTCGAGCAATTGATCAACCTGTTTGACGGCTATATCAGGCAGAACGCAACTAGTGGCATCAAGAGATGATATTGATGAAAAGTTCTTGGCAAACAATTCAGCTTTGTCGCTAGGTGAGGTGACAAAGTCTGAACCATACAAAAGAGGTGGAATTACAGACTTGCCCTTGTTATTGATACTATTAAAGATTCTCCAGAAGTCACGAGAGCCTAATTTTTGTGATGAAATACGAGACTTCATGATCTGAGCGGGCTTTGGCATTAGACAAAACCTTTTTACAATGGTTCCTAGCAGTAATAAACAGACGTGTGTTTTCTGGAGAATTGTTTTGCTGATAGATATAGAAGTAATGGTTTCGATTGGCAATTGCAGCAGCAAAATTTGAGGAAAACCATGGAGAAGAGTGAGGCTTGACCTGGAATCGTCGAGAGGGAATAAAGGATTCCATGCCAGCCTGAATCCACGAAGTTATGTAAGAAGCACATTTGTCAACAGGAAGACAAAAGATTTCTACCCAGGGGCCATCACAAAAAAATCACGGAAAGAGTCCCAGTCAGTCTGAAAGGTAGTTAGATGTACGATGATAGGGGGATTCTGATGGTAAAAAGAATGAGATAATAATTTGAGAGAGACCAAACCATGATCAGAAGCACCTAAGGGTGAGTGTGAAGAAACTGAGCACTGACTAGGATTAGAACAAGACACAAGTCTTCAAGTAGAGAAGGTAAATGATTCGGGTTGTCTGGAAAGCGAGTTGGAAAGTTGACTATTTGAGTTAGAGATTGAGAAAGACAAAAGTTGTGGGCGTTAATGCCTGCAGAGTCACTGACACTAGAGCCAAGCCATTCAGTGTGATGAACATTAAAGTCACCGACAACAACAATATTGGCTGATGGATAAAGAATGAGGGCTTGGTCAATATAATCAGAAATAACATCAAGAAGAGTGCAGTCTTGAGATGAGGGAGAGCGATATAGAACAAAGAGAAAGGTGATAGAGTGAAGTAGTGCTAAACGAAAGCACATAAAAGAGTAGTCTGTGGATTCAAACCTAGTTTCCCGACAAATGGGTGAATTCTTACGAATGTAAATGCCTAGGCTAAGCATGTGGCTATTGGAGTCTTTACAAATTAAAGGAAGATAACCATCACTAAGATCACAAGATGAGAAAGCTGAACTCAAATTAGTCTCACAAAGAGCAAGTAGGTCTGGTGAACTTTGCAAGAGATAAGACTCAACAGAAGAAAAGTTACTTCGAAGATCACGAATATTGGTGAATGATAGGTTTAGCAAACTTGGTGATGACTGTGATTTTTTGTGTTTTATAGTTTTTGTTACTTTATTTTTTTTTTAATTTATTAAAGAACTTGACTCGAAACATAGATAGTACTCAGTACACTGTTTTATAGCCCAAGCAATTGCCTCATTTCCACTAATAAACCCTAAGCCGTAACAAAGGGCTCCAATGTGGCCTTGGCAATGCACACCAAAATTACAAACAGGGACACCATCCATGCGCAACATGGCACTGTTAGTACTCTGATATTTTTCAGCTGTTGATGGAATCAGCCTCTCTGAGAGCTACCACAGAGTTCGGGAAACCTGACTATCAGCCGGCCTCAGAACCATAAAACTGAGTTTTAGAGCTGTACCCTCATTTGGAGATAATAGAATGAGTTGCCTAGTTTTAAAAATAGAGACAAAAGCAAAACCCATGAATTGAGTCAAGAAGATCCAGCGTTCAACATCCTAAACTGGAAATAATGTATTAAAAATACATCTGCGTCAGCCTAATAGATGAAGAAGGGGTACGAGGCTGGTCAACAGATAGAATCTGTTTACCCCTAAAGTCTTTGCCTAAGAGGCCTTCTACGAGACAGCAGCCGGATTCATTTAACATCTGCTCAAGATGAGTATTTTTATCGAGACACTATCTCTAAATTTGCTCAAAAATATCTAAAAGTAATGGAGTCTTATATAAATCCAAATCATATTTATAAAAAACACATACCTTCGCTTTCTGACATTAACAATTTCTTTTTTATCATTTTCTAATTTAGTGATAAAATAAAAATAGTAAAAATTATTTTGAATAAATTTTCTCTTAATCAACCTAATAATTTTCTTAAGTTTTTGTGCCATTTAAACTAGTTTTTTACTGTAATTGTTTTCAAAAACTGTTTTCAAAAACTGTTTTCAAAAACTGTTTTCAAAAACTGTTTCAAAAACTGTTTCCTTTCATTTGATCAAAAATGATCTTTTTTTTAGTTGTTAAGGTTTAACTTGGTTTAACTTTTTTTTTAAATCTTGTAATATAAAAATATATATAACCTTTTTTTTGACTATGTATATAAATCTATTTGTATTTGTGTCTTTCTCTTTTCCTATATTAATTTTTTTTTCCGATTGTACAGTATTGTGCAAATTAATTGCATTAACCTAAAAAAATTACAAATATTCTATGCCACATCGTTTTTTTTAGTTGTTAAGGTTTAACTTTGTTTTAGCTTTTTTTAAATCTTGTAATATAAAAATATATATAACAATTTTTTGACCATGTATATAAATCTATTTGTATTTGTGTCTTTCTCTTTTCTTTTATTAATTTTTCTTTTTCCGATTATCCGTGTCTGGAATGAAATATGTTCCTAGACATGCCGATGAGCCCTGATATTGGGCGAAACAGTTATTTGTTGGTTTATATATTTATTATTGTAATAA